GATGCCCACCAATTCCTCCGATGTGAATGCAAAAATGTCCACGTACTCTCGGAGCAACACCACCAACTGCACTTTAATGTTCTCCACCAACTCCTTCCCTACCCTCGTCACTTTGGTCTGTTCTCCTTCCACTAGGGCAATCTCCATTAGCTCATCTTGCGGGATCATCTCTGTCCTAGCCTCTTTCTCTCTGTTCGAGCTCTCACCCTTGACCTTGCTCGAGCCAGTCTCCGTGTTCTTCCTCTTGTGACCCGCTTTCAAAACCGTTTGATAACAGGTCCTTGCCAGTCTTTGATCTCCCGCAACCTCACCAACAAGCTCACCCACCGGGAACTTCAACTTCATGCAATATGTGGAAACTGCTGCTTGAAAAGAGTTTAAGCTGGGTCGCCCCAAGATAACATTGTAAGCCGACTCCGCTCTAACGACCACAAAACGGACTGCCCTCACTTTCCTGAGAGGAGGAGTCCCCAAGGCCATGGTAAGCTGCACCTCCCCCATTGGCACCACCTCAGCGCCACTGAACCCAAATAACGACGTCTTAATTGGTGTTATCTCCATCCCCAAGTCCATCTTCCTAAAGCATTCATAGAACATAATATCCGCCGAGCTCCCCGTATCGATAAGTATCCTTTCAACGTCATAATTTGCAATTTCTGCTGTCACCACCAATGCATCGTTGTGGGGCACCAACACCCCTTGAGAATCCCTTGCCCCGAAAGTTAACTCTGGTACGGTATGGGCCATTTGCACCTCCGCCACATTTCCCCAATCGGCCCGTAAGTTGGCTCGCCTGGCCGCATTGGAATCACCGTCCGTTGGTCCTCCGGCTATCATATGGATCACGCCCTTCTTCGGAGCCCTCTCCCCTTGCTCCTCTTGCCTCCTCTTCTTTTCCCCTCCATCTGTGTCATTCTTTTTCTCCCTATCTTGCACCACAAACTCTTTCAAATGTGCAGCCCTTATCAGTCTCTCGATCTCATCTTTGAGCTCCTTACAATTATTCGTCCAATGCCCGTAATCACGATGATACTGGCAATAAGGGTCGCCCCTTACCGGCACTCTGCCTGACTTCTTGGGTAGGGGTTGA